TTTTTTATTTGAAGATGATCCACACTCCAACCACCCCGTGACTGCAATCACGATGCTCTACCTGACGCTGTTGAAAAGGGATCTGGATAGAGTATCGATCATTTGCTAGAGCGATTCGATGCGACAAGGAGACAGCACTGTGGCATCTCCAAAGACTTGTGAAGATCCGAAAATATAGAGTTTGGATCCCACATGCCTTGAGCCCGAATCAGCTCCAAACATGATCTGACACCATCTCTTACATTTGTCAAAGATGAGGAGACGGTACAGTGTGCTAACAAACAACATGCGGCGATAAATCAGCTCAAAGGCTTTGGGAGTTCTTACTGCTAAAGTTCAACCCTGTCCCTCTGGTGGAACATGAAAAAACAAAGAAACCCCTACGTGTAGATGTCGCAGTCAACGCGAAAGTCAACTCGTCACAGCTCGATGCAACGCTTTAATACGAAAGAAAAAGCAAGGCAAAGTTTGCTTTTCTCATGACACCGTTGAACCACCTCTTGCTAAGAAAATTCAGGAAAATTTTGGGAATCTACAAGGGAAGGATACCAGGTCGAAGTGGCCATTTGTAACGAGACATACACCACTAGATGTGTTTTTGGACGCTGATCTCGAATCTGCTCTCCAAATCTGCGGAACGATTCTCTGAACGTAGTTATGAAGCGAGATAGTGCAGTGGCAGCGGCCCGGGCCGACGAGAAAGAGGTCGTGAGATCGAATTCTTGGCGAGTTTTGACTTTTGCTTTTCCTGAGACATTGTTAAGGAATCCTCATCTATGCTAAGTCATCAGCACTCGCCTTTATTACTAGTGCGAGGAGATAGCGAGGAGTTTCGATCAAGTGTGCGTGCCATGTGCAAATGACCAACGGTGACTGCCCACATTTGCAAAGTTAGGTACAAATTTGGACCAAAAGTTGTGGAAAGGGGCATTTTGACGCGCTGAATACGAATATCACCTCTGTTTGGCACGAATGCGCCTGACGCGTGCGCTACGAGTACAAGGGGCGATCTTTTGCGAATGGCGCGCACAGTGTTAGATGCTCCTCGCTAGCTATTCCCACTTGTAATATAGGCAATCGCTAATAATTTATATGGATAAAAGCATCTTTAGCAATGTCTCAAGGAAAGCAAAGTGAGAACTCGCCAAGAATTCGATCTCACGACCTCTTCTCGTCGGCCCGGGCCGCTGCCACTGCACTATCTCGCTTCATAACTACGTTCAGAGAATCGTTTCGCAGATTTGGAGAGCAGATTCGAGATCAGCGTCCAAAAACACATCTAGTGGTGTATGTCTCGTTACAAATGGCCACTTCGACCTGGTATCCTTCCCTTGTAGGCGGAGAGTCCTTCCGTATCCACCTTATAGCTCTGACCTCGCGCAAAGGGCGCTCCTCTGCTTCCCTCTCCAGACCACTTCTAGAGAACAAATCTCATCCTAACCATCATGATGTCAAAATCGACATCTGATCTTTCTTCGATCAGAATTCAGTGGAGTTCTACAAGAAAGCTTTTAGTGCGTTGGCAATAGGTTGTAGATATTGATGGTGGGTACCATGCTGGATGAATGGAACAAAAAGATAATAAAAATATTAAATTCAAAATTCAGCCAGTTTGTTGCAAGACTTACTTATGGACCAACCTAATAATTCTCTTACAAACTAAGTAGCAACTC